GATGTTGGAAGTCTAAAATGTGACTTCCGAAGACGAAGAATTGGATTACAAGGAAAGATAACAAGTATCGCAGTGACTTGCACTTATCTCGTTTAGATTGCACAGCTTTTATTTACGATTTACATTTCACGGGCATCGCGAATGTTTATTAAATCGTTCTATCATGACGAAATGAATTATCTCCATTCTGAAATTATTTTGTTAAACTCGTTGAACTCTTAACAACGAGAATATGGAGCTCGACATAACGCGATGTCTTTATTCGAATTTTAACCCTTTCGCTACTGTGGGTGAGTATAGTCACCAACTACAAGACGCCATCTACGCACCAAAGGGGAGTATAGTCACTAACTACGGGACGCCATCTACACACGACGGGAGACTAGTCATTAACTACGAGACGGCCATTTACACACGATGCGTGACTATAGTCACCAACTACAAGACGCCATCTACACACGACGGAAGACTATAGTCACTAAATACGGAACGCCATCTTCACACGACGCGTGACTATAGTCACCAACTACGAGACGCCATTTACACGCGAAGGGGGACTATAGTCACTAACTACGAGACGCCATCTACACACGAAGGGAGACTATAGTCACCAACTACGAGACGCCATCTACACACGAAAGGGGAGTATAGTCACTAACTACGAGACGCCATCTACACATGATGGGTGACTATAGTCACCGGCCACGAAAATTAAGCCAAAAATTAAGACAAATGCTTAAAAATTAAGTTTCCTTTAGCTCTCTTCGCAAAAAATTGCAAATGCTATTACAATGGCCGATTTTTCCTTTTTTTTTCTTCTTTTTTCTTCTTCGTAAGACTTTGCCCAGAATACTAAATAGACTGCACGATCTTATGTTTCCATCTTTGGCACGCTTCGTTGTAAGGGAGGGCCCCCGCGACGGCCGCCATAGCGAAACGGTTAATTATTGGAGGTTAGGTATCGACTTCTGTGCACGCTGTATATGATGAGCGAAATACGATTATTTCGAATTGTTTTGGTGCACTCCGCGTCAGATAATTAGATTTTCTTGCATAACGTATCTTCTGTTACACAACTATTCCTTATCGTTATCTTAATAAGTGAATATACGTTCGAAACTATTTTTTTCACCGTTCCTCTTAAGTCGTTTATGACAACGCGACGAAGGAAGCTGCGATACGTGTGAAATCGAAGAGTCAATAAAATTTGATAAATTACGATAATTACGTAAGCAACGAAGCACTTCCTAGGTTATAAAGATATGGCAATCGTGCGTTTTCTCGAATAGAATTGTATTATAATATTCGCGTATTGATAAGGAGGAGGAAAAAAGAGGGGAAATGTCAAGTAAACGCATATTTAATGGAACACATGAATAGATAAACTTAAAAGATTTTATTCGTTATAGTTTTAGGTAAATTCAGATTACGCGACTATGACGCAGTGAATAATTCGAATACTTAAACGCTCGCAAAACGAATGGTTTGAATATTTCAGAATTAATGTTGAATCTTAAAACATTGGAGTAGAAGGAAATTTGAATAACACGAGACTCGAATACTAAATTGTTCAAATAACAAATTTCAAATACCATATATTTGAAATATTTAGAATACTTAAATTAATATTTAAAATATTTAGAATTTTAGAATTTAGAAATTTCGAATAATTTTTACTCTTCATCTTGTCAAAAGATTTAAATAATACTCGAAAAAATTTTTAATTCCTAAAATAAATTTATTAAGAAATTTTTATTTATTAATTAGAACAATTTTAACTATTTCTTATTCGTTTCATTTTATTAAATAATAATTTAAATTTAAATTTGATTTATAAAAATCGATAGCCGATCTATTCAATGGGTTATAAAATATAGTATAAATATAATATAATAGGTTTAATAATTTATTGAGTAAATCTAATTGCTGTAAATAATAGATAAACAAACATCGGTATTTCTTACAGATCGTGTCAAAAGATCGATCTCGGAATTAATCGATCAACGAGCACTTCTTCTTTTTCTTTCGCTATTTGCTGTCACGATCGGCGTTTTCGTTGCGAAACGATTTCATTGTGGCGTCAAATCGTAAAAAAGGAAAGGGAAAAGAGAAGAAAACAGGAAAGAAAAAGAGAAAAGCACGAAGGATGTCTGAATGCAGAACACGCTGATAACGGTCTGGCCTTGCCACGCTCGAGCGATCGAGAATCTCGCGCTTAGATTTTCATTTAGATCCATCGTGGCTCCACCTGCGATCCAACGATCCAGCCGAACCGTTAACCCGTCGAACGATCGCGGCTGAATTTTTACGAGCCGTGAACCCGGAAAGAATCCCGCTGGAATCGTTATTTGCAGTGAGAAATCCTTGATATCAGGGTTGGGGAGTTTTCTGGTTATTTAAGCCACGGTAAATAGCGTTATAGTAACTTCTGATCGTCTAGTGACTGTTTCGAACTAGGAATATTTTGTCGATTTATTTTGGAAGGGAACGAGTTGATCTTTTGCTTCCAAATTTGTGTCACTGGTATTTTAGATTTGTTTAGGTCGAGATTTTTATTTATTTATAATCGAATTATGATTGTCACGGTAAATATAGTAATAGCGATATAGTAACTTCTGAGAGCCTGGTGATTATTTCGAACTAGGAATATTTTGTCGATTTATTTTGGAAGGGAACGAGTTGATCTTTTGCTTCCAAATTTGTGTTACTGGTATTTTAGATTTGTTTAAGTCGAAATTTTATTTATTTATAATCGAATTATAATTATCACGATAACTAGCAATATATAGTAACTTCTAAGAGTCTAGTTATTGTTTCGAATTAGGAATATTTTGTCGATTTATTTTGAAAGGGAACGAGTCGATTTTTTGGTTCCAAATTTGTGTTACTGCTATTTTAAATTTAAGTCGAGATTTTTATTTATTTATAATCGAATTATAATTGCCACGGTAAATAGCAATATAGTAACTTCTGAGAGTCTAGTGACTGTTTCGAACTAGGAATTTTTCGTTGATTTATTTATCAAAGGAAACAAGTTGATCTTTCGTTTCGATCGAGATTTTTATTTATTTATAATCAAATTATAATTATTGTCAATTATTGTGAGGTAGTTTGTCATTTAAAATTCTATTTTTGTCTGTCTAATATTCTGTCACGTTAATTATTAGTACTGGATTATTGTCGAATTATCTTTTTGTTAAAAAATTTTACGACAACGCGAAGATAAAATGGTAGTTAGGGGATTGATCAATTTTCCTTGGTGAATAATTTTTCCAACAGCATTACGCTATTGTAGTACAAAGATCTCGCTACACTCGTTTGTACATTTTGTATTTCGGCGATTAAAGTAAGTATAGTCGTCTAAGTAAAGTACGCGCAACTTGTGGAAACTCTTAAATTAGCTCATAAACTTCAAGATAAATTTTGGTAAAAGAATTCTGCCATCAAGTTGATAAATAAACGAACAAAATGGAATAACTGATGAGACAAAACGACAGGAAGATAAATGGGGTATTAAATTCGATAAATCTTTTCCATCGGAGATTAATTAATATACAAGTATAAACGATTCGCGTGAGAAATTCGATGATATATTCGGATTACGAATTATCAGGGAATTAACATCTATCTAACGATCGATCCCATTGCTCATGGAAATCGCGAAAGTATTCATATATTTCATCCCACCCCTTTCATTTATTTATTTTTAATCATTCTTAATTTATAATAAATAAAATTTTAAAATTTTAGATAAAAGTACAAAAATTTTATCCAAAAATAACGATTTTACTTTTTAAATTCGATAATTACTTTAAAATTGATAATTAACGAAGAAAGACAATACTTTTAAAGTGTACACATCATGTTAATCAGTATTAATTTATTCCCGAATAAAAATAAAAAATTTTATCCGAAAAATAAGATTTTCTTTTTTAAATTCTTAAAATTCTTAGAGAGAATTTAAAAAAGATACATGAAGAAAACGTAGGGAGCATTACTCGATGAAAAAGATCGATGCAAATGAAATCACGATCGAGATTCCTGGTAAGCGATCCATCCGACATGGAAATTGGAAATTTGTCTGATTAGGCCGCGTGGATTACACAGAATCGGTGATAGTATGTGTCGGAATGCCAAAAAGCCGAGTGGGCGGAATAAAATAGATTAAATCGCAATCGTGATTCCAGGCGACGATATTTGATGAGGAAATTCGAAGTCTCCGATTATCAAGAACCGGACAGCCTGTACGCGGAATACTAAACAAAGCTGGACGAAGGGAACGAAATAAAGTAAAAGTGGAGGACTTTGGTGTGACACGAAAGTAACGAGGCTAGGACTGAATATAGAGTATCTAGAAACCGTACATGCATGTTTAATTTTCCTTTTCTTCGAATCATCGAAACCTCTTCGTTTCCATTTTGGACAAAAGAACGTGATTATTTTCGAAAAATATACATAAAGAAAAATTATAATTCGCAATCGAAAGTATGGACCATCTTCGCGACCACATAACCTCACTTTTATTAAATATCGAAATTTCCTTAAATTCTCCGTGTTTAATTATCAACAATTCACACGTGCACATAATTCAAAAGACACGTATTATTCAGTAATGCTATCGGAATTTTTCTTCCTTCCCGACGAAAGGAACGAAACGCGACAGGAGTTTCTAGTGATTCCCCCTAGTGATTTCTCACCAGCTAGTAACGAAGCACGCAGTTGCATAGGCGACGACGGCTCACGCACACGCCAAGTCCGCGCCGATGACATAACCCTCGTTCGAGCCAAGGATGTAAACACGCGCGGCGATTTTCGATATTTCGTAAGACGGCTAACGAGTTGAACCTTGAGGTATTATCGCCGCACTCTAAACTTAGGCGCGCGTCGGCGAGCGTCGCGGCGGGAAAATCGGTGCGAACGGGTCCGAAAATAACCGGGCTCGACGAAACGGAAGGCCTCATGCTGTCTCTCGTTAACCCGCTCCCCTTATGGTTTTTCAGATCCGGGCGAAAGTGAACCGTGACCCAGTGGAAAATGGACCTGGGAACAGCGCCATCTACGAGAGCGAGCAGGTGAGTCTTGCCTAGTGACTTTTACTAACCCTTTCCATTCCGTGGCATTTCTAGGAAATTAGCAACCTTTTTCCTCTTATACTCGATGACATTTTTGTGAAAATTGAAAAGTTAAAGGTTAAATTATAGGTTAGGAAGGAACTATGTTAAATTACTTTATATTCCATATCCATCATAAATCTTCTAAATTTTTATAATCGGTGACCGACAGGAGTGCAAAGGGTTAACTTCTCTGTAATATTGCACGTGTATTTGTATTTCATGAATTGTATCAATGTCGTATCGTTGTATCGTGTCTATAATCCGTGTATTTGGAGGAGTTATTAATTAATTCTTCTCGGAACGAGGTTATATTCGTGGTTATTTCTTGTCACCGGTAAGCATGTCAATTTTAGGTTAGGTTCTCGTGAGTTGGTTCATCTTTATTGCGGTAGAAGTGACTTATCGCATCTTGATAAATCGATAATGTAGATACGGTGATAAAAATAATTTGCTGGTGAGGCGATTGAGAAACAGAATATTTTGAAACTTCGTTTATCCACGGTTCACTGCACGTTGTACTGTACGCGTTAGCATAACTTAAAAAGACTTTTAACTTGATCATCGAGTGCCTCTTTTTACTCGATTTTAGCACCCGAGATTAGTCGAGTGGTCTAAATCACACAGCTGCAGACCTTAACCTCTCTCACAGAGTAGAAATTACCTCCCACTCGAATGAAATCTGTTCCTACAGAAATTCGATATTCGAAGCCTCCGCCCACTCGCAAATTTTCCTCTCTCTATGGTTATCCCGCTCAATTTTGACACCCGTAACACATAACCTCAACGCCCAAAGCAGCGTCCCACTCAAATTAACCCAACTACGTCACCACTTCAGTCTCTATAGTCATTCCTTGAACCGTGCGTCACTATAGTAGGTTCCACCTAACTTTCTCCAAATTCTTTACACTTTAGAAAATATCCAAAGGAAAAATTGTAATTTATTCCGTGATAACTCTGTTTGGGCATAAGGAAGACCACTGATAGATACGAATCGAGGTCTACATACGTATCGTTCCACCAAACGTAAACTAGACGGACAGCGAGATAGCCCTCCTTTCAGACGCTGTCGCTAGAGGCCACTGTCGAGATACTTCGCGTTTCACGCGTCGCCGGAAGAGGCCACTGCCGAGATACCTCGCGTTTCAAGCGTCGCCGCCAGAGGCCACTGCCGAGTTACCGCGCGTCAGTCATTTCTGTTTCTACAAAAAGATCGCTGTCCGCTACCGCGCATGCGTTTGATCCGCAATTAAGGCTACCCGACTCCTAAATTCCCGCCATACTGTGAACCACTCTGTCCAAGGCCCACCGTCCACATCGCTCGCATACTCGAACCGCTCAGCTTTCGATCACGTCCCGTCCTTTTACGAGGCCGCGTCGACAAATGCCAAGAGGCCGATATATCTCGGCGATCACGGAGAGCGTTCGTAACCCAGTTAGCCGAAGGTTCCTGCTACTTTCACCGACCGCAAAGTCGACTTCTGTCCATTCAACTGGCCTCCTCCACGGAGGAGGAACCGGCGACCCGGTCGAGGTACCGTTCGAGTCGGAGCCGCGTGGCAGATCCGCGATCGAGCGTATAATTTTCGACTACTTTCACTGGCTACTACCACCTGTGGTGGAAGTGTGCTCCTCCGGACCGCGCACCTGACCCAGTTGACCGGCCCGGGAAGAGATATCCGCGTGGTAGGCGATCAAGGTCGTCGGGCTGGCTAGATTCTCTCCTCGCTACTGGGCTAGACTCCGGCTTCTCTGCCACCGTGTACATATCGCTACCCGTGAGCGGGAAAGCTCTCGATGGACTGGGTGTAGGGTCAGGGGACGGCAGGAAGTGCCGTTCCAGTCGATCCATGCAACGACTGCGACCGTGTGCTTCTCTCTTGGTTCCCCTCAAATTCAATGCGGGTATAATGAGTGGTTATGGCGGAGAAGCGTGGTCTGGCTTCGCTGCAGCTTTTCGTGCGTTATGATTAACCCTTGGGACAATGGCGTCGAGATCACAGAGGAGTTCCATGGACCACGAACTAACTGCAGGTTTGAGGAGTCTGTGACAGGGGACACGAGATATTAGCAAACGAGGAGAAAGTGATTCGTGTGTTAGGTTATGTTTGTTTAGTTTAGGTTGTTTCTTTGATTATAAATTTATAAGAATAGGAAAAATACGAGAAATTTGATTTTCGTTTTATTTTATCGTTATAATTAATTGGCACACGAGTCACGTGTTTAATAAAACCTTGGAGGGGTTGATAATAGTCATTATGTCGGGGTTGAAATAAAATTTAGTTCACTATTCTCGAAATAGGGGAAATTCGCGTATCTGTTAGCTTGAAATATGTAACGTGCTTCGTAGTTACATATGTATGTTGGAAATATTCGAAATTCGAGTTCGAAATGGTAATCAGCAGAGCAGAATACCCTCGCGAATGTTTTATCTTTGAAATTGGAAACTTTTATATTTTTTGGCCCATCGAGGGTTGGAAAACCAATATATTGGCTCTATTTATACCAAAAGTCTATGAAATACCTGACGTATGAATATATCGATTTTCGGCTTAGTTTTAATTTGTGTATATCGAAAGGTATATTTTAATAAATAAATAAATAAATTATCGGAAGGAATTTGGGATTGTATTTTGTTCAATAACAATCTAAGGATACGCGAATATATTTAATAATTCGTTATCTATTTATTTAGAAGCATGTATAATTTTTTATTCATTATAAAAATAATATAAAAATTTTATAAAAATATTCGAAAATGAATAGAGAAATAAAAATTCGCATCCGAGTATACGTATATCAATTCCGGGAGATATATAGGAGCATAAGAGAGACACTCGAATTGTTAGAGAGTCCATTACATAATTTGTAATCTAGCGAAGGCGACGACCAGAATATAACTGAACGCAAAAATAGATTGACCAAGTTCAAGTTCGCCAGTCCTTTTCTTTTCCTCGTCGGCTACATAATTCTTCCGAAATAAATTATTGTATTTTATCGGACCTCTAAAAATACCCTGACACCACGCTATTGGCATCTGCTGAAGATAAAATTTCATTGAATCGCGAAAATATTAATAAAAATAAAAATATATTATTTTCGCGATTCTGCATAATCAAATTTTGTATTCTATTTCGATAAATAAAATAAAAAATATTAAATATCGATCACATATATACGTATATGTGTTCACGTATAGACGCGTTTCTATAACTGATTCTATTACGCATGCCCATCATGGCGCGCGGAGGGTATCACCGAGTGCACTCTGTATCTGCTTTCCTCGAAAACGTTCGCTGTAATCACGTTCGCCGCGATGACGCTAATGTCGCGACTGATAAACGATCGCACGACATTGACGTTTATCTTGATGCATCGAACAGCGATCTAACGTTTTGTCGAAATTCGTTAACAATACGTGCCACCGGAAGCGGAAGCCGAGCAGACCCAAGGCCAATTTCGAGGTTATTTTACGAGATCGTTAATTACACGTTGGAAAAATTCAGATGGTAATTCCGATGTCGATTGACTATTCGATGAGAATATCGGTCGATTATATCATAGTTCGAGTAGATCGACCGATCAGATCTCAGAAGTGGGTATAACATTTTTATCTGCCAGAGAACAATGCCTATAGATGGCACTGTTCGACGGTAGATTACCAGTGGCCGTATTCCACAATCGTGTATAGTATCATGTATATATAATTTTTCCGGACTGATAATATTTTATTTCTATTTATTAGAGATATACAGCGAAATGGGCTGACCACTTAAAGATATTGACGTTTCCGGTCAAGTTCTCGTTCTTTACGTTGCTCGTGTCCAATATTTATTACTTCTCCGAATAATTCGGATCGATCGATAAAGTTTCGAAAACCGGTTACATACGACAGGTCTTTGAGCGCGATGGTTTACACTTATCCACCGAGTACACGCTCCCGACTCAACGCGGCGATACTTCATTCATCGTTGCCCTCGACTCGGCATCCCTCGGATTCCACTAAAAACATCTCGACACCGCCAACGCACGACCCGAGCAACTCTGCCATCCCTGCATCCGAAGGTCTCCGAGCTATTCCAGTCACCGTGCTCCACGAATAACTTTCATTCACCCAGTACAGTCACACGGAATCAATCACGCTCGCTGCTCTCCCTAACTTCTTGCCCTATCGGTAACCCTTATTTCCTAAACTTTTGCGATTTCCGTCCCAGCGGATCAATTCCAATGCCACGATAACACGTTCCGCCTTACTCCTCCCCCCTCTCCTGTACCACACCAGAAGGGTGCGTCTGCGCAGAATAATATCGCCAACGCGACGCACGCCTCCGCATGGACCTAGATCTTCGTAGCGGCGAGAACCGGCGCCGGCGTTGCACCGCGTCGCAGTGCACACACCGCGTGACGTCACCGCTGGCACGTGCCTCTCCCCTTACCCCCCACCATCCGCTGCCACCGGTGATGCAGCGTCGCAGGGCGCGCGGCGGGGCGGGGCACGGTCGGCGGCCGCCGTGGTGGGGGAAGGTAGTTAAGGTCACCGTGGCCCTGACTGCACGCGCGCGAAATGATATCCGTGTGCAAGCCGGTGCAACTGTGTGCGTTCGGGCTCTCGCGGTTCGCGCGCGTGCATAGCACAGAATGCACCGGTAGGAGATTTATTTCTAGTTCCGCAACGACCGTTCTTTCGTCGCGATCCTTCCAAGTGGACCACAGCGAACACTCGGGGAAGAGAGATATAGAGATTCGACGCGAATTCGCGTGATGGTCAAGGCCCGCGAGCCTCGACGGCCAACCTTCCTTCTTTCCCGCCCACCCGTCCTCCACCCCCTACTTCCTAGGCCGGCAGGGGTGGTGGGCCACGGAATGACCTAGAACATTGCGCGTGGGCTTCACTCGAGTCGCGCGTGGCACGACGATGCAACCTTTTTGAATGATCCCCCCGGTTCAAATAGAGAATCGCT